AATGCTTTGGGACTGTCTACAAGCAGAACAAATAAAGAATGCTTTCTATTCATTAGTATTGTTCCTTTAGGGGCAATCTGGGTCTATTTTAGGAGCAGGGCAGATTTCAGTGCAGCTGGAGAGGGAAAGAGATAAAAATGTCACTGCTAATCAGGGGCTGACCGCAGCACTCACCAGTCAGATTCTGGCCACACTGGTGGAGCTGAGCAACACCTACCCCACATGTGGAACCAGCAATTCTTGTAGAAATATAGACACGGTGCTGTGTTATCAGACATCATCTGTCAAGAAAAACCCTGTCTCCCCACATGAGGTCATGTTTGCAGTGCAGAGATGTCAACATGTCTTTTGGGGGGGATACAATTTGACTGGCCAAGACCTAGAGCCAGGGATCTCCCGTTCCCGGCTCCTTGAGGCTGAATGACACAAGAGGCAAGACAATGATCAAATGTCCCCTCCATGGGGGAAACAGAACAGGTTCTGGGGCACATCTGAACTACTGTGTCCATAATTCTTGTTGGCCAATCACAAGCATGTAAAATATCTCTAAGGACTGAGTGGCGTCAATGACAACGTATGTTAGAAACCCATGTGGGCCCTGTTCCCTTTACATAAAAAACTAACATTTAAGGAGCTCTGGGAGCACAGTGTGTCATATGTCAGGTTGCTAACCAAAAGTTCAGTGGTTCAAATCCACAGCTTCTCTTTGGGAGAAAGACAGGCAGTAATCTCCCATAAAGCTTTAACAGCCTTGGAAACTCAGTGTGTTGGAACTGACTTGACGACAGTAGGCTTATGTATTCAACAAGAGCAGTGATAGTTAGTTCAATGGTAACCTCTAATGTCCTAGGAGACCTGGGCTCAAGTGCAACGCACCTCAGGTGCATCACCACCCATCTGTCAGTGGGAGTTTGCACAGTGCTGTGATGTTAAACGGGTTTCAACAGAGTTTTTAGACCAAGACAGGCCAGGCAGAAACGTTGGCTATCTACTTCCAAAAATCAATCAATCAAACTTTATGATATGATCCCATTGAGCATGCTTTTGCCAAGAATCAGGGGCTAACAACTTGTACTCAAGGTACTGAGGACACCAAGAATGTACAGGGTTCCTATCACAAAGGCGATCCGAGTCTATCTGGGGAAACTGCTGTGTAAATAAATGATCCAACACAGAGATCAGCTGTTCAGAGTCATCCTCAGGAAGGAAGGGTGGTCTCTGCTGGCAGCAAATGGAAGAGCTTCCCAGGAGAGGTATGTCCAGCAGGGACCCCAAGAGCAGCGGAAGACTGCACCCCAATAAAACTCGGACAACATGCCTAGCCCAGTGTCTGAGAGGCACTTCCAGGAGATTCACCAAGTACCCGTGTTATGCACAAGTCACGTAACACAAGTCACGTGTCAGCAGCTGAAGGTCCCTAATCAGAAATTCACATCACAGGGTGGAGAGGCTGCATTTCAAAGCACTTAATCAGGAGCCTGAACCACAGCAGCAGCTACAATGAGCCCTAGGCTTTCTAAGTCTACACCAGAGGATTTCCTCATTAGCGAGTGATTTGTTAGAAATCCCCCTTCTCTGGTGAGTAAAGTGATATTCAAGACAGGCGGCAGGGAGACACAGGCACCTCAGCCTTTGCAGGGATGAGAAAGTCTGGAATTATAGCTCATTTTAGTTTAGTCCTTGAGCTGATTCTGACTCACGGTGAACTTCTATATAACTGAACAAAATGCTGCCCAGCCCTGCGTCTTCCTCACACTCACCAGCAAGTTCAAGTCCATTGTTACAGCTACTGTGTCCATCTGCTTTACCACCAAGGTCCTCCCTCATCCTCAACAGCTCTCTACTTCACGAAATGTGATTGTCCTCCTCTAGCAATTGACCCTTCTTGATGACATGGCCAAAGCAAGCAAGTTAGACAATGTTTTGCTGTAATCCATAAGGTTTGCATGGGCTAATTTTTGTAAGGAGATTGCCAGGCCTTTCTTCCTAGTCTTCAGGTGCCACCAAATGCTGTCCTGTGTGAGCAGCATCTGAAACACCAGTAGTATAGTTTCTAGCCTCCCAGCAGCATGTAGCAAACACAATACAACAAACCTATAGATAAGTGGTGCAGCCCAGTATGAGTAAACCATGCCTCTGAAAACCCTATGTACAACAGAACACATGTTTAGGGCTGCTGTACATTGGGTCGCTATGAGTTGCAAGCGAATCGATGGCACCTAACAACAACAACAACAACAACAACACTCTTCAGAGAGTCCTTCTGAAATAGAACTCAGGAAAGGGCCGGTTGCTCACTCCTGAGCAGGTTTGTCACTTGATTCCATCATCTCCACATTGGATTCTAATCAAACACTGGTGAAAAGCACTTGGGTAAAGCTAGATTTCCCTAATGCTGCAACAATGGGCTATGTGACTGGTTTTGTGGCTTGCTTGTCAATGTTTCTACCCCTCAATGTCAGTCTGTTGTTTGGCGCTGGCCTGCATGTTGCTGGGATCCTGAAAGCTGTGCCACCGCTATTTCAAATACCAAATACCTGTGGCTGATAGGTTTCAGTGCAGCTTCTAGACTAAGCCTCGCCATCCCTTGAAAAAGAATAGGCCCTTGGATGCCCTATGAATTGAACAGCCTTAGAACATTGTCTGATATGGTGTTGGAAGAGGAGGCTCTCAGTTTGGAATGCATTAAAAATATGCCTATGGAAGAGTGGCCTCATCACAGCAGAGTTTACCTTAATGATAAAGATGCAGTAGAGCTTTCACCCAATGATAGCTCTTTATTTTCCTTCGTTGATGTGTCAAGAATCAAAATAAAGCAAAACACCTGCAAACATTCACTAATAACTGGAATATGGAATGTACAGAGTACAAATCCAGGAAAACTGGAAGTACATCAAAAGTAAAATGGGACACAAAGATCGAAAGCCTAAGCATTTAGAGGACTGAAAGGGACTGGTACTGCCCACTTGGAATCAAGACAATCGTAGGCCTTACTATGCTGAAAAGGAACGGTGTCACCTTCATAATCAAAAAGAACATTTTAACATCTACCCTGCAGCATAAATTGTCAATGATAGGAAAATATTCATATACATACAAGGAACACCTGTGAAGACAGGTTACTCAAATGCATACCAAGCACTCAAACCAAAGATTAAAAAACAGGATTCTTTACCAGCTTTTGCAGTCTGAAGTAGCTCAGACAGGCAATCAAGATGCATTAATAATAAATGTATGGATCATGAGAAATTAAAGGTAAATTTAAGACTGGGAACCCCAGAACACTTAATTGTGTTTATGCAGAACTTAGACACAGACCAAAAAGCAGTCGTTCAAACAGAACAAGGAGTAATAATTGTGTAGGTGAATTTGGGTAACTGGGGTTTCTTATAGGAAAACGTGATATTAAGCTAGCAAACTGAGTTCACAGAATTAAGGATCCAAATTTCTGACAGCAGTTGCCTCTGGGGCATAGAACTGCGGGCAGCTACTCTCCACTGATTAAAATGTTTCCTGATCTGTATATTTCTTTGTTAATAAGAAAAAGCAGTTTTGCAGGAGAGTTAATAAGCCAAAAGCAGTTGTATGTTAAAATCATGTGCTTCTTCCCCTTGTGAAATCATTAAGCAGAATAAGTCAGTTAATGATAAACATAGTAAAAATTGGGGAGAAAAAAAATCTATCTTAACACTGATGGATTTTCTACAGCAGAGAGAAATCATTTAATCTGTCTAGAAAGTATGCAACGCTCTTCCCCTGTCTTCACAACGGCAGAGTCCCTCACTGCCCCCTCCAAAACCAGTTTCGGCACCTCTCCAAGGCTTTGCTGCCGGCTCCAACTGACCTTCTCCACGCAGAATTCCCAAAGCAGTATCCAATGCCACTTACACCACTTTGTTCTGACAGCTGACTGACACACATAAATCCATGGTTCAATCTAAAATGCACACTTCATGTCATTTCCTGATAATAATTAATCGCTGTCAAGAGGATTAACTTCTGCCGGGCATTTTCTCCCACAGGCAAAAAAACCCTGAGCTGCTTTAAGGCCCAAGTCAAGGAGTGGCTGCTTGCTTGCTTAAGTCTGCCACCTTGTGGCCAATTTAATAAAGACCAGTTTTCCCTTCGTTTCCAGGAGCTACAAGTTCCCGCCCAAGGTACACAATAGTCACCTGAGAGCTTTAAAAACCCAATGCCCAGGCCACATTTCAGGCCAATTAAATAAAGTCTGCAGGTGTAACAAGGATGGCACATCAGAATCCCAAGTGGGGGAGGGGGACTGTGTACCGTCAAATCGGATCTGACTGGTACAGGAGGAGATTGCCTCTCCTTCTCCAGCAGAGAATCTGGTGGGTTTGAACCATGTACCTCTGGGATTGCAGTGTATCTTCTTGCCACTAGGCCACCAGAGCCCCCTTTCCAAGTGAGCATTTTTAAAACTATGCCTTCTTGGATCCTGTCCTCAAGGGTATACGGCCCACACCAGGAATCGAAATAACTCCTGGAGGTTAACTTCTCTTGGTGTTGCAGTGAGTTAAGTATTTGGCTGCCAACCAAAAAGTTGGCAGTTTGAACCTCCAATCACTTTCCAGAAGAAAGAGAAGGTCCTTGTAAATATTTACAGAAACGCAGGACTACTGGTCTCATAGGGTGATATCAGTCAGAAGTAACGGGACAGCAGTGGGCAGCTTAATAGCCACCTGTCTAATTCCTTATCCCCTGTACTTGCCGATGAGAGGCATTCTGTAAGATAAGATGTCCAGACCCCTGCCTGATCCCCACTCACACAAATGAGGGGAAGCTTGAGAATTTGTCAGAAACAGGGCACAAACAGCCCTGGGGAGAGGCCCCACAAGGCTGGTGGAGCCACGCTGGAATGGAATAGTTTGGTCCCAGTCATAACTGCCAGCTTCTTCATTCTTCTGGAGGGGAATTTTTTATTTCAGTGAGCTCAAATTCTTATGGAAGGAAAAGGAAAATTGAAATAAGGCAGGAAGTACCCCAAACGAGACATCATAGTCCTCAAATGTGTAAGGTTTGTCGGCAAGGTCTTCAAAAAACTCAGCTAGGGAGTCCAGTGTCTCCTCGGCCAGTCTTTCATAGGTGGTCTCGTCCAGGGAGCTGCAAGGAAAACCCAGAGGATACAATTACCAAACCACCACTTTTCATTCCCATAAACTGCATATTTATCATCTACTTACATTTGTAAGAAAATTATGTAACACATGGTTATGTGTCACTAGGTCAGAAGCCACATACCTGACCCTCCAGTGAGGTTTTCACCACGTGGGAGGAGACTGTCCAACTTTCTATCACAGCGTAGCTGGTGGATTTGAACAGCATACCTTTGGGTTGGCAGTCCAACTCCTTATCACTAGGCCACTAGAGCTCCCTCAGCGGTGGTGTTAGGTGCCACCAAGGTGACTTTGATTCATAGTGAGTCTATGTGACAGAGAAGAGTTGCCACACAGGATGGCCTCAGTTGTAATTTTTTATGGAAGTCGATCACCAGGCTTTATTCCTGAGGAACAATGGAGTAGGTTCAGACAGACATCCTGTCAGCAGCCAGGTGTTTCACTACTGTACCGTTATGACTCCTAATCATGCTGTTGCGGTTAGGTGCTGCCGAGTCAAATACAACTCATAGCGACCCCATGAACAAAAGATCCGAACCCTGTTCTATCCTGCACCATCCTCCACTTCTTGACACACAAGAGCCTATTGCAGCAGTCACCTTGTTGATCCACCTAGCTGAGGGTCTCCTCTCCTTTGCTGATCCTACACCTTTCTCAGCATCATGTCCTTCTCCAAGGAATAGCCCCTCCTAGCAATATGCTCAAAGTAAGTGAGGCAAAGTCTCATTGTTCCTGCCTCCAAAGAACACTCCCGCTGCATCCTCTCCCTGACGTATCTGTTCAATCTCTTGGCTGTCCATGGGATGTTCAGTGCTCTTCTCCAACATCACAGCTCAAAGGCATCAATAATTCTTTTTCTGTCATCCTTTCTCATTGTCCAGCCCTGAGATGCCTACCAAGTACTCGGAAAGACCATGGCCTCAATCAGACATAACTTAGTCCTCAAACTGACATCGTTACTCCTCAATAATTTGGAGAGGTCCCCAACTGCAGATTTCCCACTGCAATGCGTCTCCTTATTTCCTGACTGCTGGTACCAATGGTGTTAATTGTGGATCCGAGCAAGATGAATCTGGACAGTGTTAATCTCCTCTCCATCCATCAGGATGCTGCCTATTGGTCCAGTGGTAAGAATTTTGTTTTCTTGATAAGGAAATGCAATCCATAGTAAAGGCTGCATTCCTTGATCTTCTGCAATAAGTGCTTCAAATCCTCTTCACTTTCAGTAACTATAGTAATCATTCTAGTACAATGTTAAAAGTAATGTAATATAAAAAGGTTTACCAGCAGAAGTAACTATCTTCCCAAAGAGGCAGTCCCACCTCCACAGGCAATTACGATCCACAAACTGTTATGTATTTTTCCAGAATTTTATGTTTTAAAAATATATACAAATTAAGTTCTTTGTATTTTTCATTTAATATGTCTTAGGACTTGTTCTATTATTAAGTACATATGCATTTGTAAAAAAATTGTTGTGAAATATATTCCTTGGGAAAAGTGGAGGGTCAGAGAAAGGAAGATCCTTTCAACCCAGCAAAATGGATTGACACAGTGACTACAACAGTAACGGACTTGAGCATGCTGGAGATTGTGAGGCTGGCCCAGGGCAGGGCAAGGTTCCATCTGTTGTCCATAAGGTTGCTGTGAGTTGTACTTCACTCAATGGCACATAACAACATACACATATTTTTAGTTTTTTTTTAAACTATATTGAGGGAGAGAACTATTTAAAAGTGATATATGATTGGGTATTATGGTTATGACAAGAATACAGAATGAAGGATGCATAGTGGAGTGTACTGGGTGGGTGGGGGGTGGATTATATGCCAATGAAATAATTTTTCTTTTACTTTTCAAAGAGAAGAGTGAACTGGGGAGGAGAGGTGGGCAGGGAGAAAAATGTAACAATAAATGATTGGAAATCCAAAATCTCTGTAAACATTTATAAAATTAATAAATTAAAATTTAAAAAATATTGTTATTTTTAAGTGAGTTGAGTATGACTTATAGAGGCCCAAGGAACAATGGATCTGACTGAACTCTGTCCTATCCTGGGCTGTTCTTATCATCCTCGACACATTTGAGTCCCTTGCCGCACGCAGGTACTGTATCACTCTATTTCATTGAGGGTCTTCCTCTCTTTCACTGACCCTCCACCTTTCCAAGCATGATGTCCTTTTCCAAGGAATAGCCTCTTCTAAAAAGATGACCAAACTATGTGAGACAAAGCTTCACTATCTTTGTCTCCAATGCAATGTTTGTTCTTTTGGCAGTCCATTAGATATTCAGCACTCTTCTCCTAAAACACAATTTAAGTGCATCAGTCCTTCTCCTGTCATCTTTATTCATTGTTCAGCTCTCAGATGCACAGCATGTAAATGGGAAGATTGTGGTTCAAACCAGGCATACCTTAGTCTTTAAATTAATATCATTTCTCTTTAGAACTTTGGAGAGATCCATGACACCAGACTTTTCCAATGCTACGCAGATTGTCAAGAAAACAAATAGGTCTGTCTTGGAGAGCATAAAACTACGTTTCTCCTTGGCAGCTTGGATTTTGAAGCTCTGTTTCACATACTTTGGGTGCGTGGCCAGGAGAGACTGGTTCCTGGAGTAGGACATCATGTTCAGAAAGGTGGATGGACAGTGCAGGAAAGGAAGACCCCTGATGAGATGGATTGTTACAGTGACTGGGGCAATAGGGGTTGGTGTGTTCCTGGCTCAGGACAGGGCAGAGTTTAGAGCTGCAATACATAGAGTCGCTATGGGTCACAGGCAACTTGATGGCACATAATAATAACAAAAATAAATGTCTCCTGACCCACTGACTACTGGTACCAAGTATGTATTTATATAAAAAAATACATAAGATTTTATATATTTATATACAAAAATATCTAAGATTTGACAATTCAACATTTGAGTACATATACATTTTTATAGTATTTTATTTAACTAGCTAGCCCCTTTCAGCTGGGCATGGGAGTTGTTTCTATTGTTTTTTTAATTAAATTTTAAATTGGGCAAAACACAAAATGGGAGAAAATATTTGTACTATATATATCTGACAAATGACTCATAACTAGAATATATAAAAATTCTTACAAAAAATTAAGAAAAAGAAAACAATATTTAAAAGGGGCAAAATATTGAAAAAAAGTTCATAAATTAGTATTGAAATGCCCAATAAATATATGAAAAGTTGCTCAACTTTATTCATCTTCTGAAAAATGAAAATTTAAATATCACAATGAGATACCATCAGAATAGTTCAAATGAATGAGACAGTACAAAGAGCTGGTCAAAGGTGAAGCAACTAGTTTTCAGACACTGCTGCTGAACAAGTAAATGAGATCATCACTTTGGAAAACCACAGAGTAATATCTATCAAATTTTAATGCATTCATATGTTATGACTTCCATTCTTTTTTTTTTTTTACTTCCATTCTTGATATATGCCCAGGGGTGTGTGTGTCTGTGAATATGTGAAAAATATGTGAAAGGCAAGCACATCTTCCCCAAAAGACATGTTATGTTTTAGAATGTTCAGAGCAGAACTCTCCAATAGACCTAAACTATAAACTGCACAGCAGCCTACGGTAATGCAGCATGTAAATAAACAGAGATATATAGTCATACAAGGAATAATACAGAGCAAAGTAGAATCTTCTATGGCTACAGGAACAATCTGAATAAGTATTAAAAGCATAATGGTGTGAAAATCTATGTTCATAGCAGCTGTTACATTAGCAAGAAACTGGAGGCAGGCCAAATGTCCATCAATAATTGAATAGACGGAGAAATTGTGGTACCTTCACACAATGGAATACTATGCAGCATTAAGGCACAATGATTTTGTAAAACACTATATCACCTGAGAAAGACTAGAGAGCATTTTGCTGTGTGAACTGTCTTATCCATATAAGGACAAATACTGCACAAGGCCACTGTTGTGAAAATAGGAAGATACATGAGTAAGATGTGTATAAATGTTCAAAAGGGAATGAAGAGAAGAGGGGCAGCAAAATGGAAAGGGGGAAATCACTGGGACAGCAGAGGTTAGTGGGAGGGGTATGAACTAATAGGAAAGGCTTAATGAATGGGGGCTTGAAAAGATAGAGTGATAATAGGCATAGAGCAATTGCAATTAAATATATAGAATATAATGTATGAAACACAAAGTACATGTACAAAACACAATGTATATGAATGATTATATGCAAACCATAGAAAAATTTTAACATAATAGTAATTGAAGGAAGTTACACTGAAACACATTTATACTTAATGATACATTTTATATAAAATATAAAAACCAACAAAACTAATCTACATTATTGAAAATCAGGATAGTAGTTACTCTGGGGTAGTGAGGGGGTATAACTGGGAGCATGTAAAACTGAAATTTAACCTCTCATCCAATCTATTTAAATTCTCTAATAATAAAAATAGGTTAGTCCTTGAATTACTCTCTGCCTATCATCAATGACCTAGTTCTGGTCACCTAGTGGTAAGAAGTCGTGCTGCAATCCCAAAGGCATGTAGTTCAAATCCACCAGCTGCTCCACAGGAGGATACTGCCTCTGAAAAACCTGCTGGAGGGTCAGCTATGGGTCACTTCTGACTCAAGAGCACACAACAACATTGTCATATACAGGGAGTTCTAATGGCCTAGTGGGTAGAGTTGTGCTGCCAACCCAAAGGCATGAGGTTTGAATCCACCATGGAAGAAAGATAAGCCATGTCCTGCCATGCAAGTTACAGCATTTAAATACCTGCTGGAACGTCAGCCATGAGTCAGTTCTTACTGGACGGCACACAACGACAAGTCAGTAGTCACCAGCCTGTAGATAAGCTAAAACCTGGCACCTACTCTACCAGACCTCATGTGATTGAAAAATTCCATTCCCCAGAACATATGTCCCTAATCCACAAAACCATATCTATTACCACCTCAAACGAAAAAGGCCAAATCAAGTTGTA